CTTCTAATTCAGGTCTTGAGCTCTTTGAGGATGGGCTGTGTTTTATTCATCCTTGTGGACCCAGGCTTGCATTACATATGACACCGATGGTATGCATTGCTGAATTTAGGAGAAACTCAATCAGGTTAATTAGATGAATTAAGGTATAAATAGCAGATGGAAGTATTGTATATTGTTAAAAGAAGATCCTGATTAACCTCCAAAAACATTGTTTGTAATCAGAGTCAAGGGAAAATTTGAGATTGTGGGGCAGGAAACCATAGTGTGGCCTGAAGTCATGAGAGTAGATAGACTGCTACTGAGTTTTGGGTAAGAATTTTTAAGTCCAAGCAAGACAGAGCGCACCTTGTCTCTTCACACTTCCATCATGCGCTCGCTTTACCAATCTCAAAACCCACTTATATTTGTATGCCTTTTTAAATTGGCGCACATGTATGTAATATAAATAAGCACAATAGAATAATGCAAAGACAGCATTCGGCCATATACTGACTACGCCCAATAAGAGTGGCCAGTTTACTGTGCTGTTGCTCTGGTCTGAGAATAAATAAACAAGTGAGGAAGGCATAAGAGGGGGCCAAACATGGGGTCAGAAGGATTGCAGCATAAAGACCCAAGGGCACAATGGGAGTTGACAGGCTTCATAGCCTTGGACAGGGTAGGGCATCAGCAAGACTCCCGAAGACCTGATTCCAAAAATAAGGCGTGAAGGATGATCAGGGTGTGCTGGCAAAAGTCGAGTGCTGAGAAGAGCGTTGAGAACAGCTTGTGGGAGCACCAAGAGGAGCTGGAAACATGAAGGGAGCTCTATCGCCTGGCCAAACAGAAAGGTGCTGAATGGCGGGAGTGGAGAGTGAAGGCAGCAGCAGCATCGAGGTCAGTGTCAGAGCAAGCAGGGCTCACCAGCCAGGCCTGAGCCTTGTGTGGTCTTAGCTTAAGAGCATGCAAACTAGTTCAACCTCTTGGAAAGCAATATGGAGATACCTTAAAGTGATACAAGTGGACCTACCATTTGATCCAGCAATCCCATACTGGGCATCTACCCAAAAGACTCATGACACTCTACAAAAAAGACACCTACTCAATGTTTATAGCAGCACATTCACAATCAATCAGTTGTTGTTTCTTTCCTTTAGGTTTTCGTTTGGGTAATCACATGCCTTGTTTAGTTTCTGAGCCGGTAGGTGGTGTCTGTGGGTGAGATTTGACCTGTATAATGAGTCAGTAGATGCCGTGAAAAGGGTGTGCAGGATGCCCTCCCTGTCAGTAGGTGGCGCTTGCTTGGAGGAACAGGCTATGCTGTTGTTATGTGTCCTGTTATCAGCTCTTGTTCCTGTAGAGAGGCACTCTAGTGCCTTAGGGGGTCAGTGGGGCCCTGGGACTGACTGGTCCAGGTGTGTCCTTTTCTCCCCCTCATTGAGGGCTGGTCTAGGAAAGAGTCTGGGTGGAGCTGGGTTGGGTAAGCCTGCCTTCAGGCACCACTAATGTCGTTGGCAGGGGTCAAAGTTCTGTTCCCTGCTTCTAGGTAAAGCTGTCAGGGAGGGGCTGGAACGGCCCCGCTCAGCCAGAAAGTCTGCGTGTGGGTTGGGGCTGTCTGACACCCGCAGTCTGGAGCGGGCCTGGCTTCTTTCTACCCTCCCCAACTCTGCAGCTACTCCTGGGCCTCTGCCAGCAGGCCAGACTACACGCCACCAGGCCTCCCCTGAATGTGATGCTGGTGGGGAGGTTCCCTGCGCAGGAAAGCCACCTGGGCTGGGTGCATGGCCTCCCTTTGCGGGGAGGGTTGCCCTCTAGGATGCTGATCTGGCCCTGAAGGCACACACACCTCAATAGGCTGTTCACGTATATCCCTTCTGTGTCCCGGGCAATGCGAGACCTTGGTGGGTGCACGGGATCTGGTCTACAGGTCTGACCTCTGGGCCCCAGATTTCAAACTATATCCCCACCAAGGAGAGGAGTGCCAATCCCAATTCACCCACGGGGAGCCCTACCCTTCCCGCTGGTCTCCGGGCTCCTCCGGCAGTCTCAGCTTCCAGTTCTTCTCCGCAACCTCCTCCTGTGGAGTCTCCTGTGGTCTCAGGTACCCCTTTTTACGACCCTCGTCCTATGTATGCTCATCTTCTTGCTTCTTTTTTCTAATTTCTGCTAGAATCTGTCTTTTCTGCAGAGACACTCTGTCTGGCAATGTTTCTTGTCTGCCATCTTAATTCTCCCATGAAATGTATTCTTTTTAATAAGCTCTATTGAAATCCGAACTCTGTTTTGCAAAGCAAACCAGAATCCATTTTTCCTATTCCTTTTCCACAAAGCCCATTTCTAATTCTTTGCTTCAAGATCCTCCTCTAAGCTTACCTCTGCCTAGACACTCAAGCTCAGGCCTTTTCTGCTCCCTGTTTGAGGTCACATGCTCGCCAATGACATTGCTCCTGCTCTCTGCATTCTCATTGCCCTGTAATCTGGGAAGGGGATCTGGGGAAAAGGAGAAGACTTGCAGGATTGCCTGCATCGATCCTTTTTGTAAGGTCTCATTTACCCTCACCACAGCCCTGAGAAGTAGCTAAGTCTCTATTTTACAAAGGAGAAAAGTAAAGTGATTAAGCAGCTCACGTTGCTGCCAATGGCAGAAGCAGGGTTCAAGTTTACCTCTGACTGGTCCTTAAACCCTGTTCCACTTCACTGCATGTGTTTCTGGGGCAACAGATGAGTCCCCTTCTATCAGTGGTGGTTAAACTGGTAGTTAAATGGTCCCTCACCACCTTCCTGGCAAAAGGACACAGGGCCAGGACACCAAACTCCAAAATGAATAGATTATATTTTTCCTCTAAATGTTCAAGATAGAAATCATAAGAGTATATAATTTGGGGGTTAGGTTATGTCCTGATACTTTATCCTAATGTTTCGTCTAATTTGGGTTACTATCTTTGGGATAAATCAGTTGTCGTTTTATAGCCAGTGAAGAAAAGCATGTTCATTTATGGTTATTGCATTTTTGTGCATGAAGAATGAAAATTAAATACGATTGAGAAGGTTTAAAACAAATTATTTTAATTTGACTTCTGCAAGGCAAGCAGGGTTACATTTTGTACACTTAAGTCCTTTAGGAAGGGGAAGGACAGGTCCTGACAAGAACAATATCCTTACTTTGGTTCTTGTTGTATTATAATTTAATATGGTTAAGCTTCTCTGTGTGCAGCAGCTATGTGGCTAGCACCAAACCAGTCATTTCCAGTACACAGCTAAATGCCTAGCTGTCTTCATAGTTCAATGTGACAGGACCTAGGTCCTTTCCTTGGCAAGGGATTCAGTTCATACCCTAACCCCATGCTTGAGTCCTTTTGTTTATTACCCTTCAATTTCACCCTTACTAAGGTAACCAGGACCCCAGTTTGCCTAGCACAGTCCCGGTTTATGCCTGCTGTCCAGGTATAACTCTTAACTCTAGTTCCTCTTTTCACTTTTAACTTGTCACCCAGTTTGGATGACAAATTGTTGCAGAACCCCAAGTTTAGGTTCATATACCTGATGTGCAGCTAAAGCCAAACTGTGACACTGGTGCTTGGAGCTAGACAGAGGTTTGTTTGATTTGACCAAAGCAAGAAGCTGGGAGAGTAAATCTCTCAGATCCATCTTACCAGAGAAATGAAGCAGGAAGCTTTTATGTGGCTAGGGAATAAGCGGGTGGTGGTGGAATTTTAGGGAACCAAAGGGGGAAGTCTGTATTGTTCTTCATCTCAGATAACGCTTTGAGTAACCAGACTTATGGGCATCAGGAGTTAGTTGCAACTTCTTAAAGGACATTCATTCTTTCTGTAAAATAAACTCATAGGTTTTCCTTGCAACCCTGGAGTTATATCCTCTTGCTTGACAAATAAATAGTACGACAGCAGTTAATAAATATTATGAAAACAAGGGGTGTTGGGTAGGAAGCAAGCAATTAATGTGTGTCAACAAATAAGGACCTAGTCAAATTTTGTATTATTTTTGTCATTAAAAAATGCTGGGGTACTCAAATCTCAAGGGACCCAGCTATAAAATTACATGGGCACTCCATTCCAGTGCATATTAAACATGATTCTCATGACTTAAGTTAACCAACTACTATCTATGTTTCAATTTAAGGCACAACATGATTATTCACATCATTCCTCCTCTTTCTATTTTCCTCCTTCCAGTGCTACATGGACTCTCAGTCTTCAGGCTTTACCCTTTAATTTTACCTCCATTACTCTATCCTGCCTTAAGCCCTGACAGCACTCATTCCTAGAAATAGCATTTAGTGAAACAATTAAGGGAATTTATATAGCTCTAACAATTGTATCCCTACTAGACATTTAGAAATTCAGGACTGGCATTTAATAAAATGTCATTCTGCAAAGGCTAAGCTGTAAGCAGTGGTGACAGATGCACCAGCCTGATTGTTTTAAATGGATTTATGGAGAAGTGAGGTGATAATTGTTTTAAATCCTCTTTTACAATAACTCCACCATACTGTATAATATGCAGGCTCTGTTGTTTGCTATCTTTCTATCTTCTATCTATTTATTTATGTATCTATCTTCTTCATCATCAACATCATCATTATCATCATCATCATCCACTCTATGTATCTGTCTGCTGTAAGCAGGGCCAGACTTCTGGGAAGCAATGTTGGTTTTTGGAATCTGTGCTGCCCACATTAGGTTCCAGTGATAGAATATATTTTCCTTTGAGGTCATATAAACTTCCACATGGCTTTCATAGAATGCCTGAACCTAAATGGAATGGATCTATTGGCAGGAGCTCATGGACTCGCAGTCAGATGGGCAGAGACAGAAGGGGCTTTGGTGTTGTTACAATCACACCACAGGCAAATAGCTTCTCACCTTACCAATTAATCAGACTCTCCTTAACCCTTATTATCAAACAGCTCCGAAACTGCACTTGATTTGATGCTTTTATTGAGCAAATTTATAATGAGACATTTTGGAAAACTCACTGGCCCTAAGGTATGTCTTCTTCAAGTATCAGCTCCCTGTCAGTGAACAAGTTTTCACCGATGTGGATCTTTTCTTCACACCTTTTCATAGATTTTGGTGCTGACAATATTATTCATGATGCATTCCTAAAAGCAAAGGGAGATCTATTAGAGTTGGTAGACAACAGGCTACAATTACCCTGTCCCTCTGTCCCTAGGCCCAATTTCAGTTCAAGGTACAAAAACAAATGAGTAACTTGAAAGGCATGTATCAAATAGGAGCATATAAACATTTCAATTTAGATAAAACTTACCACTACCATTTTTCCATCTGCAATTTTTCTTTTGATTGTTGTCTCTTTGCCAAGCCATTTTTGGACCTGAATCATTGAGCCATTGTCTATTGTTACGATGCTCTATAAATGCATAAAGAAATCAGTTAGAAGTAGCAATCCACTACATTCTAATTTTCATAAGACTAGACATCTATTTTCTATTTTGAAATTTTTTTTCTTTAAAATCTTCACTTTGGTTCTTGTCCTAATTTAATACTGTCAAGCTAGAAGAAATCTCAAGAGATTAGTCAATTAGCAGTCTCTCCCAGACAAAGAATACTTAAGCTATTTGTGCTTAATTGTTCCTTCTCTATGCTCTTTCATATAATGACAAAGAAAGATCAGGGGAAAAAGGTGAAAACAATTTGAGCTTTTTAGCCCTGTTGTTAACCGTAGGAATAGTTACCAAAAGGATTAAGTTCAGAGATGCGCGGATATTGACAGAACGAGCCCAGACTGACTTGGTAATAAGTCAAATTACATAGAGTAAACCATGCCTAACCACCTTCTAGTTTTTTCCTGAAGATTTACTTCTGACCTTCACTTTCCGGTTGTCTGCTGTGGTTTCGTCAAATTCTTCCCCCAGCTTGAAGGAGATCTCAGTGTTCTTGAAAGAACTTTCCATTCTGATGGTCACCTTTTCCCCTTTGGCACTAATACTGACAGTCGGCTTCACTGACCCTGCGGCGTTACGAACTGCAGCATCCACGCCTGGAAGACAGGAAACCAACACACCTTACTAAGACATTTAAAAAGAAATGTTAAAAATCATTTTGGAAAAGCAATTTTCAAAGAGCGCATACTTCTCCTATTGAATTTTTGGATTGCGTGCAGTAACTTCTTTTGGGCTCTCTGTGATATCTGGATTGAGCCAGATCCTCCCAATCAATCACAAGGTATATCTAGTAATTATATTTGACATTTGGAAAAACTGAATCCACTCTCTGAGGCTATTGTGCTTCATCTGAAATGTGTATTTGTAGGGTTTCATATCGTGGTTACTGATCCAAACGCTTGCACTTAGCTCAGGGAGTGTTAGGGCAATGGTGCAGGGTTTGGCTTATAGCCTATCCCCCACTCAGGTTGGGGGTTTCCATTGTCGAACTTGACTCCTGCAGTGGCCAGGAGGCTGACTCCTTCAGATTGTGAAACTGGTGTGACTCATCTCACTGCAGACACACGGATCGCAAAGAAGGGTGAGCTGGTTAAAACCTGGGCCCAGCTTGGCCACCTGCCAGCTCAGGGCCATGTAGACCTTCTCTGTCAGTTTGCCCATAGTAAAATTCGGTACTTAAGTACTTACCTCACAGATGTACTGGAAGATTAAATAAAAGAACTAGCCTGGCGCTGGCACATAGTAGGTGCTCAGCTGTTATTCCTCCTTGTACCATGGCTAACCCAGCTAACAGTGGAGGCAAGTGCTATTCTGGCCCTTAAGTCCCAAGTTTATTGTATGCCTCTCAATTTTAATTCAAAGCAAGTGAGTCTATAAATCACAAAGAGAGAGGAAAACTTGTTTCTTATTAACGCCCGAAAAAGTTAATACTAACTACAAAAGACAAATAAATATTACATTTATAAGCATATTGAGTTCTTATTATAAGGGATTAAACATTGCTGTTTTGTTGCCAAGATGGAGTAAACATTAATTAATAGTTGTAGGAGATAGTTGCAGTAGAGTTAAAAAAAAAAAAGCTAAGCAAAAATTAAGGAAATCTTAGCTTTTTTATTATAACGGAGTTTTCTCTTAATTACATATGAAAATATATTAAATAATTACTGTTCTTCTAGTATTAGTAAAGAGTAGTTTTGGCCGGGTGCGGTGGCTCACGCCTGTAATCCTAGCACTCTAGGAGGCTGAGGCGAGAGGATTGCTCGAGGTCGGGAGTTCAAAACTAGCCAGAGTAAGAGAGAGACCCCATCTCTACTATAAATAGAAATAAATTAATTGGCCAACTAATATATATAGAAAAAATTAGCCAGGCATGGTGGCACATGCCTGTAATCCCAGCTACTCGAGAGGCTGAGGCAGAAGGATTGCTTGAGCCCAGGAGTTTGAGGTTGCTGTGAGCTAGGCTGACGCCACAGCACTCACTCTAGCCTGGGCAACAAAGTGAGACTCTGTCTCAAAAAAAAAAAAAAAAAAAAAAAAGAGTAGTTTTAGCTGTTATACACCCAAGTCATTTTAATTAGTGTTTAACTGTTCAACTTGAGTCAAAGATAAAGGATAGGTAGCATTTATACTTCTGAGTAATAACCAATGGTGAGACAGTCAATCAGTAAAAATATTCTCTTTGTCCCATTAAAATTTGGAATTCTTCAAAATAATGTTTTTAAAATATCTCTCATATGTATGAGAACTCTAAAAATTATCCAACTAAAATTTTTGTTTGTTGCTACCACTCTTGAAGTTATAACTTAAAGCAAGCCTTAAAACCAATTTAACTGATAAATTTAACTATAGTGATTACTGTCTATAAATTTGAAGCTGGGAAAAGCTATTCAATGAGATGATCAAGCTAAAGAGAAACTCTATCCAGAGGTTAAGATGAAGTATTTTCAAAAAGTATAAATATATGGGTTATGACTGGAGTCAAGTCTTCTAAAAAGAGATAATTATTACAGTAATTTAAAAAGGCAAGAGTAGATGCATAAACTATGTTATTATCATATGAATATACTGCAGGATTCCATAAGAAAGATAAATTATAGGAAAATTCATTGTAAAGTACAAACCCAGCCACATCACAAAATGCTTTGCCAGTTTTCAAATCCTGTAATGGTATTTCTCACCCAGTTCTTTCATGTACTCCTCAAAGTTTTCACTGGAGACCAGCTTCCAGGTTCCCAAGAAGGGCTCAACCATCATGGAAAGCTTGCTGAGGAAGAGGCAGGCAGAATGGAGAACCAAAGGAAAGTGAGCATTCCAGTGCTGCTAGTAACTTCATTTAAAGAGCATCTTCATCACATGACTCTTCCTAAATGGCCAATGGGCAGCAGTAGCAAGACTGAAGATTCTAGGCACCAGCATTTGACTCATTTTATTTACCTCCAAATTAAGAAATAGAAAATTAATATGTGAAGTTAAATCCAGGTCAACGATTATACCTTCTAGCAAAGAAATTTACATGCAAGAGTCACCTGATAAATATTACTTGTAGACAGGAGACAATTTTCATTGGAGATTAGCCTTTGAACAATGGATACTGGATCAACCCTGAAGGAATACCCCAACAGATGTCTGATGATCCCCTGGCGAGGGTGTGTATTCCCACGCAACCCTAAGAAATCCTTGCTTTGTCCACCTCAGCTGTTTTTTTTGTTTGGATAAGTCACAGTGCCTGAATGCCCTCTTCATTAAAATAATATCTTCCCCTCCCTCCCTTGTAGGGTTGATGGACTGATATTAGTTAATGTAACTGAAATGCCTACAGTTGCTTGGAGTAAGGCGTAGGGTGTTATTAGTATTGTCATTGTTTTTAATCAAGGGTAATTGAGGACTTGGGAAGAAAGGTGATGAGTGAATAGTGGTATGTGATGTAAGTCTTAAAAAGGAAGCAAAGCTATTGCCTGAAAAATGCATCTTTCAGGATTACAAAGTAATTTTGATGTTAAAAGACACCATTTAAAATTATCAGGAGAAATTTTGAGAAGTTTTATGGAGAAAAAAATGACGTTTGACATCTGTATTCTAAAGGAAAGACAAAGGCAGCAAATAGTTTCAGTTTCTGTGCAATTACTTCTGTAATCATCTTCTGCCACCCCAGTAAAGAGAGTGGACTTTGCAAGTACTGAGGGTACTAAGAAGGATTAGATGCAGGGGCTGTGAGTTTAAATTACAGCTTTGAACTCAATTTGTTTTAAAGATGCTGGAAAGTTAGAGTGTCAGGGGCCAGAAGAAGAATATTCGTGCTTTTATCTGCTTTGTATGAAATATTTCTTCAATTCAGAGAAATATTTTATCAAATCATCTATTTGTGGACAAAACAAATAAGCAGTTGATGTTTTGGCACCACAAAATAATAAGTGGGATAAAGAATTGCTTTTTATGAAAACATATGAAGAAGAAATTCATAACGTGGTACCTTTATAGGTAGAACAGTTACTAAAATATCTGGAGGGAAAAATAAGGTAAGCAAAAACTTTAAAGTCAATTTCAGGAAGCTGAGTCCCATGCTCAAAATAAGTACTTCACCAGTTGAAAGTGCATTCAGAGGTGATGTTCAAATACAGAGCAAGTTATTAGAACTTGCTTTACTGGTTCTAGATGTGTATGCACTCTCTGCTTGAAAGATAGCAAATATGCATACCTATGCATTTTGGCCAGTGGGGTACTGTGACAAAGGTCTCCCATCCTTGTTCCAATTCTCCTGCCATAGATTGATTCAGAAATCAATCTTGAGGTCCATATTAGAACTCAGTTGGCCCAGGAGACAAAAGGTAAAGTCAAATTTCTGACTTCAAATTCCTCAACTCTAGGAGAGAGCCAAAGGGAGAGACAGTCCCTGTTCTTCCTCTGCACATTTTGCTTTCTTACATATTTACCACTCTTACATATTTCCCCTGCTCTACCCATTGTGTTACCAACTCAAAGACAGAGCCAAAATAGAGAATGGCACAGCAGAAAGGTGGAAGGAACTGAAGGCCACTTTATTTCTAGAATTTTGATTATGTTAGTTAATAAATTCCATTATTATTTAAACAATTTTGTGTGTGAGTTTTTGTTATTTGCAGAATAAGCCTTCCTCATTGATATGCCTTTGTAAATAGCTTCACCGAATGGTTCGGTGAAGCATTCGGCTGGGACGAATGGTTCACCGGGACGTCACAGCAACCAATTGTATAGATCACGTGCCGTTGGCCTCGTGTGCACCGCCTTTCCAGATCAAACTCAAGCATCTCTTCCTCTGTGAAACTTGTTCAGGACTGGGTGATCCCTAACTGTGTGACATAATTATACTTTTAACAGAAGTATAGTAGAAAACTTATTTCATTGTATTGCAACTAGTTATTTCCCAGCTGTCTCCTGAGCTATTCTATGCATCCATCAAAGAAAGAAAAATTTCTTACTTGCCTCTGTATCCCTAAGACAGTGCCTGGCATTTTGTAAGTGTTCAATAAATGTCTTATGAATGAGTGACAAAAGAAATAAATAGCATTTCTTTATTTTTAACTAGCAGTTCTTCTCAGTAATGTTCTTTATCTCTCAAACAGAGACTAAACACAGGGTTTTAATACATTATCCTCTCCTGACCTGCTCTTATGACAGGCTTTTCACTGTGGTCATTATCACATGGTAGAGGGATTCTCAGACTCCCTTCATCTTTCTTGGTGTCTCATTACTTCTGTACAAGTCTCCCTTCCCAACTAAGAAAGTTCTTTGCTATTTATTCTGCTGCTACCACTAGCCTTTGGCTCCTTTGTTTGATTATTAAAAAGCAAGCACCATTTCATCAAGTAAAAAATTTTTAAATTAGAATATTCCTAACTTTTAATGATATTTAAGAAACTAGAATATTATAATTTGTTATAGTTACACATCTTGTTTTCATGACAGTTTCAATGCTTATTTCTCTGCTATCTCATTTTTATGTGCTCCTTCAACATCTCATTTTTTATATTGACTATTGCTCTTCTGTAGGACACAGATCTCTTAGGTTCTGTTTACTTTTCTTCAATTTTTTTTCTTTATATTCCTCAAATTCAATAATTTCTATTATCCTATTTTCAAGTTCACAGATTCTTTTTTCTTTCTGTTCAAAAAGACCTTCGAATTCCACTAGTGAATTTTTCATTTCAGTTATTATACTTTTTAACTCTAGAATTTCTCCTGGTTTCTTTTTAGGCTTTCCATTTCTTTATTGATATTTCCATTTTGTTCATCCCTTATCTTCTTTACTTTCTCCAGATTCTCCCTCAATTCTCTGAGCATCTATAAGAAAGTTGTTTTAAAGTCTTTGTCTAATCAGTTATTATTTAGTCTTTATCAGAAACAGTTTCTGCTATTTAATTTTTTCCCTTGAAGGGCCATACTTTCCCATTTCTTTGTGTGACTTGTGATTTTTTTTTTCTTGAAAACTGGATATTTGAATCTAATATTGTAGAAACTCTGGTAATCATATTCTCTTCTTTCCCCCAGGTTTACTATTTTTTGTTTTTGTTTTTATTTTGTTTTGTTTAATTTTTTATTATTACAGGCCATCTATGGGCCAAAGATCAGCCTGAGGAATAAGCTCAAGGTCTTCTGAGCCTGTGCATTCCATAGGCCTGCACAGTGATTTTCCCCTATATGTGTGGTTCCTTTAAATGTCCTAGTCTTTGCTATCTGGCTCACAAAAGGGAAATAGGGAGAAACGAAGTGGGACGAGAAGAGCTGACTTTTTAAATACCTTGAAAGTTACTTCAGCCCAGGGGAAGGAACATGCAGCTATGAGGGATATGTATTTGTATGCAATAAAGGCTGCTGGCCTGTGTCTGCACCTCTGTGATGAGAAGCAGCAATCATCAGGCAAAGGACAGACCTACAATATTTAGAAAAAATGAAAAAATATGGGTCCATATTGCCCATCCTAGATCCTACAAGCTGCATGCATGCTGCTCCAGGAACATGTGCGTAGCTGCCAACCATGGAGCTTGGGGTGAGGGATGGGCATCTTCAACTGTATTAAGAGGTGAAATTGACCAAAATTCAATTCAATTTATCATTCAACACTTCCCCTGGGTATTCCAAGGATTCAATAGAGTTAAGAGTTTTGAAACGGATATATCAGACAGATTCTGCCAGTGTAATTGTTGTGTAGGTGGGGAGACATATTCCAGAGCTTCCTCCTCTGCTATCTTCCCAGAATCCTCTCAAAATTCATCTCATCTCATTTTATGAATCAAATTACCACTTGGACTCTGATGGCTTCCAGATCTATATTCCAGCCAGAGTAGCTATCTTGATTTTCACATTCCTATATCTATTTCCTTCTTGGTTTTGTGATCTTAAACTCTGAGCTTTAGTTTCCTCTGAAAACAGGAATGCTAAATCCTCCTCATCAAATTATATAAAGCATGCAAAGTGTCTGGTACTATAGTTTTTGCTTAATAAATATTAGTTTACCAAGAATTGTCCTAATCAACCTGTATAAATCTTGTCTATTTAGGTTCTCCAAACCTCTAATGAGCCCAAAGTGAGAATTTTATTCTATGTTTTTGTGAAGAAGATAATATGGTCAAGAACCTAGCCTACATCTCTTGTCCTCTATCATGGTATTATGTATAGGAAAGATAATCAGAAGAATGAGTATCTCTGGACTTATTTTTAAAAAGAATATCACAAACAGAATTATATGAACTATGGCATATACTTTAACAGATTTTGTCTTGCTATAAAATGTGAACATGTGATTTAGAAATTTCAATCTATTAATATGTACATGGATCAAGTGATCTATAGAGGTGCTCCATAGCTTCCACAAAGGGCAGGATACACACATACACACAACATACACAGGTGCACACACATGCACACACACTCTACCTGAGAAACCTCATCATATTTTTGTGTTATATGTATTGGAATTCTATGGAGATTTTGTTGAATAAAAAGTTCCACTGGGTAGAAAAATTTTGGAATCCACTACAATAAAATTCAAATCTTTTTTATTTGAATCTTTACTCATATATTGCACTTTTTTCTGCAATGAATATTATGGAATTATTTGCAGTGAATTCTGGAGTGATTTCAGAGATAGCATGGTTTACCAATAATTCTGCAGACTAAAAGTTGTAAACTAGAAGCTTTCTCTACAACATGCATTGTACAGTAGTACTCCCCCACATTCAGGGTTTTGCTTTCTGGGGTTTCAGTTACCTGAAGTACAGTAGAAATATTTTGAGAGAGAGCAAGACAACATTTACAAAACTTTTATTATAGCATATTGTTATAATTATTCTATTACCATGTTTACCCGAAAATAAGACAGGTCTTATATGTATTTTTCCTCAACAAGACACCCTAGGGCTTATTTTCAGGGGATGTGTTATTTTTTTTAAGTACTGTACAACAATCTACATTTATTCAAATATATTAAAGTTGTCTTCTTCGGAACATCATCATAACTCTCCAAACCCTGAATTCCATCCTGAATTTCTTGCAACTTTATTTCCTTTAGAACCATTGGCTCCAATCTCTCATGTCAAGCAATAGAGCTCTCATGGGGTAGATGGGAAGGGCTGCTCGTCTCCTTTACTGCTCAGCAACGAAATGCATGGGTTGTGCAGATATGCTGAGCAGCCACGCCCATCACTAGGTCTTACTTTCTGTGTAGGGCTTATATTGTGCAAATGCTTAGAAATACTGCTAGGGCTTATTTTATGGGTAGGTCTTATTGTTGGAGAAACACGGTATTAGTTATTGTTGTTAATCTGTTACAGTGCTAATCTATAATACACGTTTCAGGTATATATGTATAGGAAAAACACAAACACTTCATAAGAGTAGGTTTGAATGGCCTTTAATCTCTCATAGGAAGCTATATTCAGGAATATACTCTTTTCTATACCTCTGGGCGCTCTTCGCTTAACATTCCTTACTTCAGGTATGAACAGGGCTATTTCGTTATGTTGGTATACTTCTTCTCTTTAGCACCCAATCGAATTGTGAGGTGTTGTATACGATGCAGTTATGATCAATTAAATAGTCGGAGCTACTCTCCTGGGTCAGACCAGTGTGAGCTATGGATAATTATCACTATATTCAAATGCCCTTAAGTCTATTGAAAGATACTTTCTTAACTATTAATAGCTAAGAATAAGATCATATGTTATCTATCTCATTAATGGTTAATTATTACTTATATTTAACTCTCCTACATTATATAAGATAAAGGTGAAAAATACAGACTTTTCATATGATTACATATACATTTCTTTACTTTTATAGAAACATCCAACCTAGTTAGTATTATCCAAAGATAGATGTATTACTTATATTCGAAACAAAGCAATAATGCAAATTTTCTATCATTCATTCAATAGAAGTGATAAAGAAACTATCCAGCACAATGAATACATCATTAATATCACCTTTTAAATCCAAAAATTTTATTACAATCAACCATATTGAATAAAATCAGCATTGATAAATCAGTTGCTTGTTAATAGTGGAAAATAACAATTCTTTTTGAACAATAACATCCAATAGGGAGTATTGATCAAATTAGGTGTGCTTTTGTATGCAACAGAAAGTCAATGTCCTGGGCTTATGCTCTCATTGTAAACTCTTCTGCGTAGGAGGCTTTGACATTTCCTTTCATTAACACTATGTGCTGTCTCACTAGATCACGCCAAAAAAAAAAGAATCTATCTGGAGTTCTAAAAACTACACTGCGGACTAAAACGATTGGTTGGTATATAGTTGTTGATACGTCTCTCAGTGTTTGGGGAAGTGAATATCATCTAATATTAATTCAAAATTGCAATAAGACAGTTGTTCTGTAGCATTCCGGTCTATAGATTTCTATTTTATATCATATCTCATATTGTAAATAAATTGGAGAGATACAAAGACCAGGAAAGATAAAGTTCTTCCCCTCAAAAGAAGCTTGCAAAGTACAGGACGAAAGAGAAACAGAGGTATCATACTATGTGCGTTGTCGGATGGATTTCTTTTTGGCATCCGCTAGGAGTTAGCACCTCAGGGGTGCCTAAAGGAGTAGGAGGTAATACTTCCTGAGAATGACAAGCATACCTGATACACTTAGACGCTCAGAAAGCATGAAGGACACAAGCCAATGAAGGAACACATAATCCCAATTAAATGGAAATCAACTTTGTGTGAATGTGTTCGTTGTACTCGTATAACCCACTCGTTAATTTTCTGGGATAGTTTGTTGTCATAGATATATGTTGACAAATATGATGGATTAATGAAAGACTTAATAGAAGTCTATCTGGATTCATCTGTGAGTATGCCATAAATGTTATTCTCACGACACGCACCAAAGTTATATCATCACCTCCTTCGTTTGTCGTGCATAGTTACCTGGTCTGAAGTGGTTGTTTTTATGTGTAATGTTTTTAAGACCACGCGCATTTTTCTGCACATGTACCAAATACAACCTCCCTCTCATCCTAA